TAAGTGCTTGGTTGCTTGTGGCAAGGTTGATGGTTCAAGTAGCCCTTCAGGAGAAAAACCAAGCAGTCTGCTCTTGGAAAGATTAAGCCAAGAAAACCACATGGGAAAGTTTTACTCTGTTGCAAGGGGTCACTGTGAACTGGAGTGGTGCGACACCATGGCCAAGCCAAGCGGGGGTTTGGAATCCTGGGGCCTACTCACCTTCACCCATGACCAGACATATTCAAGGAGGCAGAGCATTTGAAATAGACACCGAGGCTTGAGGAAGAGGTGACATTTGAGACAAGCCTAGGAGAATGGATAGAATTTCAGAAGGCTGGGAAGGGGAAGCCCGTTGCCTAGCCTCTGAGCCTTTGTTTCCTCATCTACAAAGTGGAGGTGATCCTGAGAAGAGGATTAAGTGATACCATATATATATATGGTTCTGAGCACAACCCCCCCCCAGGAGGTGAGCAATGAGGGTTCCTCCTCTGACTCCTCTTAGCATTTGAAGAAGGATGAAGAATTTGGGGGTTACATGAGCTTTCGAATGAGGGAATCTAAGTGATTCAGACCTTTGTGACCCTGAGCCTTCATTTTTCCATCTGTAAAATGGGAGGAGAGTTTCTCAGTAGTTTCACAGCCCACTGCGTGTGAGACAATAGGACTCAACAGAGCTCTTTAATGGTCATGGCTTCCTACAGAGATTTGGAACGTGCCTGTTGCTCTGATGTTCTCCAATGATAGCTCCTTCCTGGGCCATGCTGGGGCGGGTGATATCCTTAGACCTCACGTGCCCCCTCCCTACATGGAGGATCAATTCCTAGACTTCTAGAAAGGCATATGGCCTCACTGTCATGCCTCAAATGTTGGTGGCCCAGCTCCTCCTTTAAATCTCAGCCACAGGTACCTCAAGTTGCCCTTTCTGCCTGCATGGGCTGAGGGGTGAAGTTTGGCCAGGCGTGGGTTTGAATCCAGGCTCTACCATTTCCTAGCAGCACTGACCTTGGGCAAGTGACTTTGCCTCCTTGTGCACATTTGCTCGGCTGGGACCTGGATGTGAGAGGAGGGACAAATGAGAATAGTTAGCCTTGAAGGAAGCGGCACCCACCACACACTAGGCCTTCAGTAGGTACATTCTTCACAGCAAACAGACGACTCACTTGTGCCTCCCCCATCTTCGTTCATGCTTTCCCTCTGCCTGAAGCACCCTCCCTTCTGAAACCTTACGCTCTGTGGGCAGATCCAGGTCAAAGGAAGGGATTGTGTCTGGGAAGCAGGTGTTGACATTTCAGAGCCATCAACTCGGTTGACCAGTTTTGGGTTAGACGGAGAGCTCCCTCCCTCTGTACTGTAGAGAACATAGGGTGTCTGGAACACCTTGAGAAACACTTCACCCATCCTTTCACCCCAGGCAGCCGGAGCAGCTGAAGGGCAAAGCTTTTCTGCACCGTCAACATCGGAGCTGACGGAGCCAGGTTTTCCCTGTTGCTGCGGGGAGGGAGGTCAGTTGCAAGCAGCAGGCTCGGGCTGTCTGGCCAGCTGCTGTCAACACACAAGGGTCCATCCTGCGAGTCCTGGGAGTGGGCCAGCCGCCTGCCCACCCAGCCTGGCTTTGGAATTGAGATGCCCGTGAAATCCTTTGTGCAAGCGCGTCTGCTGGGACGTGGCTCAGTCAGCACCAACAAGGCGTGGGGCTTGAGCAGCGGGTGGAGGGCTGAAGGTGGAGAGACTGGACTGTGTGGTCCTCCAGAGCAGAGTGCCGTCTGCGTGGAGCCGAGTGGGTATTAGAAGTGCAGCTTCTGCCCCACCCCAGACCTGCTGAATCAAGGTCCGCATGCTAGCGAGATTCCCTCAGGATACATGTGCGCTTGAGTGTGTTACTTGAGATCATTAGATCCAGGTTTGCATCTTAGCTCCCCACTTCCTGGCTATGTGACCTTCACAAGTTATTTTACCTCTCTGAACCTCAATGTCCTTATCTGCAAAATGGATTTGAGTTAGTGATTCTCTGCATAGCTTAAAGGAGACGATAGGTGTGTGCAGGCACTGAGCCCAGTATGTGGGGCCCTGCTGTCTGTGCTTGCTAATAAGTGGGTGCTGCTGGCGTTAACTTGTCTAGAAATCTAAACCTGTGAGCTTGTGTTCATGGGTTGGCTTTGGTCAACTTTCTCTTTCTAGGTCTCATTTTCCTCATCTGTACAATGGACTTCTCCAGATTCCTGCTAAGAAGATTGATCAAAGGAGGAATGAGAGGGTGCAGTGTTAGGGAGCCGGGGGAATGAGGATATATGTCCGTGAGATTCCCCTGAGTGCTAGGTCCTTGTGTCCAAGGGAATAAACATGTCATTCATCCCCCTCACTGCCCCTTTCTCTGCTGCTCCTGCTGTTGTCACAAGACACAGTGGCAAGGTTGGCTCAGGAGCCAGGCTGAGGCCACGCTCTGCCGCTCCTGTGCGCTCGCACTGCTCAGAGCCTTTGCAATCTAGTCCCCTTCCTCCCTCAGGGCAGCTCGGCCAGGAGAGATGATTCAGCTCAGGCCCTGAGGAAGCCCCGGATGCCCCCTGCTGCTGGCAAAGTGAGGTGGCTTGCAGTCTTCTCCCTACTTGGGATTTTTGTCACCCACACTGGGCCTGGTTTTCTCAGCAAGAAGAGATCTGGGCCAGAAGTCCTAGCCCTTCACATATGGGGTGACCTTGGACAAACTGCTTGTACCTCCCCAAGACTCAGTTTCCCTGTCTGTCCAGTGAGGGGATTCCATGGAGTGGTCCCATCTGGGTCTCTTGCTGTGTCATCCTAGCCTCTTCAGTGCTTTCTATGCCCTTCATCCCTGGCATCAGCCCAGCCCCAGCCTCACTGCCCTCTGCTCTCAGTATCGGGAGACCCAATCCCCAGAAGCTAGCCTGGCAGTGAGCACTGGGGGCTGGTCAGGGACCAGGGCCAGCCAGGCAGAGGGAAGGCGTGTTTGTCCTCTGGGAGCCCTGGCCAGGCCGTCTCGTGTGGGAGAGAAGGAATTTTCCTCTGTGTGTGCAAACAGCATCCGTTTTTCTCTGGTTTCCAAAAGCTGGTGACGTAACCAGCTCTTCATCCATGCCTCCCCTCTGGCCTATTTTTAGCTGGCCCCGACAACATCCTAAAAGGCTCCCAGACCTCCCTGCTCTGAGGCTGTCGGGAGAGCAGCAGCCAGTGAGGAAAGAGAATCTTGTCTGTCTGCCCTGGGATGGAGGGAGGGAAGAAACCTGCCTCTCCACGGCTCCTGCATGAGGAGAGTCAGGGTAAAGCCTCTGTGTTTTGATGTTTCCTGGGTCTGAGGAACCCGGGAAGGTGGTTTAAAAACACTCCATCTGGATGGAGCCTCAATACCTGGGTTCGAGTCTCGACTCCACCCTTCCTCACTCTGATCTTGTCATGTGACCTGTGTCTTCCTTCTTCACTTGGGGATAAGATATTACCTCAAACATTTTGAGTAGCAGATGAGCACTTAACCACTGCACTACCAGGACTCATTTCATGTATAGCTACAAACTCAACCAAAAAACCACTGGGTCCACTTTGACGGTGGTGACCCATGTGTGTCCTAGAGGAACTGCAGTGGATTTTTACAGCTGTGACCTTTTGGAAGGAGATCACCCAACCTTCCTTTCAAGGTGACTCTCTGGCTGGATTGAAACCACCAGTCTTTTATTTAGCAATGGAATGCTTAACTGTTTGCACCACTCAGAGACTCCTGTACACAGCAGTGTCTGAACCAAGTTAAGTGCTCAGTGAGGGTGAACCTGTATGGTTCCAGTTTGCTCAGCTGTTCTCGTCCAGTGCACCTCTAGTTGAGGCTGACACACGTCTTGACACTCGTGGTCCCTTCCCTCTCCATCCTTTCCCGTTCAGCTTCAGCTGTGTGCGTGGACCAGTGGAGTCCTTGGAACTGTGCCTCGCTCATTTGCTATTTTGTTATTAGTTGCTTTCCTACTTGGCTCTGACTCATGGTGATCTATGTACACTGGAATGAAATGCTGCCCTATCCACGAGGTGCCAGCCTAGTGGTGCCCACAGGTTTGAGTCCATTGCTGCCTTCTAGCCAAGAGCACTGTGGCTTTCAGCACTGGACTGGGCAAAACTTGGTTGAGATCCACAGGGTTTTCACTGGCTGATTTTTAGAAGTAGATCACCAGGCTGAAACCTGTGTACAAAGATGACTTTGCTAGCATTCGAAAAACTTAACGGCATGGCTTCCAGGATCTCAGCAATACACAAGCCATCACAATGCAACAGGCTAAGGGAAGAGAGGTGGGCCCAGCACTGAGGAAGTGAGGGCCATGTGTATTGCTTTGTGTTTTAATGTAATAAATCAGCCCTGATTGAATTCCATCACCACCACTGACTAGCCATGTCACCTTTGGATTAGCGGCACAGCTTACTATAGACTGTACAGCCAGAGCTCCCCAGCCCTGTTGTCTTTGGGAAGGACATTTTACCTCTCCGAACCTCAGTTTCCCCATCTGTAAAATGGGACAGTAACAGGAATATCCACACAGGTGATTTTTACATTAGGATAAGCTATAGTCAAATAGATGTAAGATTGCAATCTTAGTGTAACAAGGTTGTTTCTTATAGGTACATAGGTGTTCCCAACTGTGGGGCGGTCTGTAGCCATGCTTCAGAGGACCAGTTTTGTTACTGCATCATATAGCAGCAACATTTATTTGCACACTACTTCACAGCCTGCACAGAGACAAGCAGTGGTGGCCCCTCTGCCTTTGTCTCCCCACAGAGCAAAGGCTACAGCTGAGTCATGGCTCTCATGGCTGTCACCTGCAATTGTGTTTATGTGCAGACCTGACTGCTCTCCCCACTGCACCCACCATCCCCCTCACCTGAGGGCTAGGCAGCACGCAGGGATGTATTATCCCATGTGTCTCCCTTGCTTAGCCTGGGGCAGAGCTGGGGTAGGTGTTGGTATCTTGTCTGCTGACTCGACCACAACAGGGAGGTCACTGACTGCCTGTCCTTCTTGGCTCTTACAGATGGGAGGAGGAGCTCGCCAAGTGCATGAACCTGCAGACCATGGTGGACACGCTTCAGGAGGTAAGAGCTCTCAGAGGTCCCAACAAGAAGAGGTGCGAGGGAGGCCTTTGTGGCCAGGGGACACAGGTTTCATGGGGCAAAGCCAGAAATGGATTTCCCAGCCAGTGTCCACCTCTGTCTTGCCTTCTCGCGCCCCAGCCTCTCCTCCAGGGAGTTAAGAGGCTGCAGCTCTTCTCCCACTTGGGAAGTGGCAGTGTACAACATAGGAGTGCAGGAAGCTTGGATAGGAAGAGCCAGGGTCCGAGTGCCAGCAGCTACCCCAGCTGGCTGTGTGACTCTGGGCTGAATGCCTGGGACAGGTGGGTAGGTGTGTCAAGAGGTGAGCGCCTAGCCCAGGCTGACTCTTCAGGGCGGGCGGAGGAGCCTTGTCCCAGCTCAGCAGCTCCGCATTCCAGGCTCAGCCTCCTGCTTCTGGTTTTCCTCTCAGTCAGCAGCAAAAGCAGCAATCCCCTGAGAAGGCGTGAGAGGCTCTTTAAAACATTTTTATAAATTACTTTTTTATATTTAAAGCATCTATCTTCTTAAAAAAAAGTCAAGATCGATTCTAATAATACATATGTGCAGAAGGAAAAGAGCAAGTGTCCTCCCTTCTTGAATAATAAAAAATATGTTTATGATCAAATATTTGGAAAATGCAGAGAAACAGAGAAGAAAGTACAAATTGCCTCTAGTGCTACCCTCCCACAGTTGACAAACTGGCATGTAACCCTGCAGCCTTTTCTGTGCAAACATACATCCACCCTGCATGCATAGACTTGGCTGGAATTTTTCCAGACCAGCCAGGACTAAATATTGATACTTTCACATCAATTAACCTCATATTTTAACATGCTGAAATACTTTGTTTTATGAACCTGCTCTTTTTCTCTTAATATCTGCCATGGATTTTTTCTTTTTCTTTTTTTCTTCTCCATGCACCAAATAGTCTTTTGAAAAGTGTTTTTGGCTCAGCCGTGCCCTGTAGTCAGCAGGACTCTGTGGGAAGTCAGGCTGACACCCTGTTCCCAGGCTTGAAGGTTGAATATTGAGTGTCCAGTCCCCTCACCTCTTCAGGGTCTCCTGGCTCCCTAAGGCACCCTGGTCTTCATCCCCACAGGCAGCACAGGAGGCGGACGCCATCCAGGAGGAGATGAACGAGAAGATAGAGCGGCTCAAAGCGGAGCTGGTGGTGTTTAAGGGCCTCATGAGTGATGTAAGTGCGACTGGCTGCCACCCCAGGCACCATGATCTCCCCACCCCCATCATGCAAAAGCTTCATTCACTGAGGCGGCCGGAGCTCGGCTTCTAGTTAGAATCCTGGCTGCTGCGTTTGACCATGAGGATGACAGATGCATCAGAGACCAGGCGCCCTCCCCCTACTCCCGCTTCCCCTTGGTCTGAGTAGAGATGCATTAATCTGCTGCTTAACCCATCCCGCCCTCCCCAGGGCTCCTCGGACGGGCTGTGTGTGTTCAGTTGGGGTTGTCGTCGATGAGGGCCAGTGGTGACCCTGGCCTCTATGTCTGGGCATAGTTGGGAGACTGGCAGATCAGGGCCCCCTGTGGGGATGAGGGAGACCCCAGGTCCAGTCTCTGCAGCCTAGGGGGCTTCAGACCCACGGGCCTCAAGCATGGCTGCTTTGGAGCATCAAGAGAGGTCAGTGTATACTTCTGACAATCCGGTGTCTCCCTGAGGGCCATGGGGTCATGGAGCTGTTGGCAGCAAAGATGTCCTTCCTGCTGGGGGCCTGCATTTCCTACCACCTGCGCCCAGTGCGCAGAAAGAAGGAGTTGACGGCTCAGCCTGGCTCAGCTCCTGGTGCTGAGTGGCCACGGGGCTAAGTGTGGCTATCAGGAGACTTCCCATGTGGAGCATCGGTTGGATGCAGGGGTACCCTCCATGTCTCCTCAGCTGTCAGCTGTGGAGGAACCCAGGAGAGAGAGTGGCCTCGGCAGGTGCCTCTGTGAGGGGGACTGGCTGGGCTGCAGGTTGGGGAGAGAAGGCTATCATTCAATAGTGTGAGTTGTCTTTGTTCTTTGCTTTAACAAAGTGAATGCTGACTATCTGCAGAGAGGACGCCCTCCAGCCTAGGGAGACCAGAAAACATGGTCTTATATTATCCACTGGGTGCCAAAGCCCTGAGCCCCCCTAGACCCCCTACACGCTGGTTCCCACAGCCCTCCCCGTTCTGAGCAGCAGTGTTGACTCAACCCTTCATCCTGGACTCTGCGGACTGCTCACCGCCAGGAGCCTGGGGACAGTGCACCCTCATCCTTGCTCCTCTCCGCGCTCACGTAACCCCTGCTGTCCTCCCTGCAGCCCATGACAGACCTGGACACAAAGATCCAAGAAAAGGCCATGAAGGTGGACATGGACATCTGCCGCCGGATCGATATCACGGCCAAGCTGTGCGATGTTGCACAGCAGCGGAACTCGGAAGACGTGTCCAAGATCTTCCAGGTGAATAGGACCACCTGCTCACCAGTGCCCACGGCTGCCATCGCCCCTCCCGGTGCAGTCCTGCCCTCGACTCCTGCCTGGGAAGGTCCCTAGTACCCCATGCCCTGCTCATTTCCCTTCCTCAGCAGGTAGTAGTTACCCACTTTGGGCTCCACTTGGAGAACATAGAACCAGGGAACGTAGAGCCCCAGCTAGCCTAGTCCTTCTGGCTCTATGATCTAGCGCGGCCACTTCATCCTGTGGCCCAGAGGGTGACGTCCTCTCCGTTCAGGTGACCAAAGGGCATATGTCATTCTCAGAAAGCTGCTTCTTGAGTTTTGGGTTGTTGTCTGGCTTTTGCTTGAGTCCAGGGCCATATGGTGTGTTGTTGCTTTAAGTGTGTGACCTTGGGCCTTGCTGGGCAAGGTGTGTGCTTCTGGGGGGCCCTTCCGTCACTCCAGACCTTCTCACTGCCCCCTTGCTGGAAGCAGGAGGCTCACAGCCATGTTGCCTGTGTCTTGTCTGCTTGGAGTGGAAGCTTGGTGTGTTCCTTCACTGATGCCCATTGCCTTTGTATGTGAGCTAGACTCTGCAGAGCTTGGACTGGTCTTGGCCTCTGTGATGGGTTCTCCGTCTCTGGCTGGCTCTGAGATGTCCCTTGTGGCTCTGGACCCTGGTCTGGCCCACTCCTTTCCCTCACTTGTACAGCTGCTTCTTTGGTGAAGGGCAAACCCAGCCAGCAGCCTTCCAGAGCAGAGGAAGGATCCAGGCCATCCGTCATCTCCGTCCTGCATGTCCCCTCACTTCATGCTTTTCGCTAATGCCAGCTGCTTTGTAGAGGACCTGCTCATCTCCTGCCCGCGGTTGGCCCTGGCCACATTCCATCCTCTGGGGGATACCACTCCCGTCTTTGCTGGGAGTCCCCACTCCCTATCCCAACAGACCCTCCCAGTTACCTCCATCTCTTCCTTTCTGGCTCAGGTGGTCCCCAAAAAGAAAGAGCGGAAGGCGGCTTCGGATGATGACATCTCAGAGCAGGATGGAGAGGTGAACCGGTTCTCAGACGATGAGGTTGGCTCCATGAACATCACAGATGAGATGAAGCGCATGTTCAACCAGCTGTGAGTGTCTCCCCCCAGCACTAGGGGGGCAGGGCTCCCCCTTAACTTCTTCATTGATCCAAAGGCAGGTGTGGCACTGTTGGGCAGGCCTGCAAGGAAGCTACAATATGTTTGTTTCACCACCCTGTGCTTTCAAAGACCTGGGGTTCATGTACAGCATTTAGAATGTGGGGAATGTCACATTTGTAGTTTCTCTTGAAAAGCTGCATTGATCGGGCCTCTCTGGTTCTCAGGGCACAATTGCCAGGAGCCGTTAGGTGTCTCCAGCACAGCGTGCGTTCTTAGGTCACCTGAGCCCTGAAGGATTCCCTTGACTGCAGACCATCAACTCAGATCTCACACCCCCTTCTTCCCCAGGGCCTCCATCCCTCCAACCCCTCCTTACTCCCACACCAGGCCTTTGTGTGTAGGGAGCTGGCAGGGCCCCTTCCCTGCAGTTTCCAACAGGTCTGGTGTGAGCCTTTGCTCCTGACCAGATTTCACAACACCTACCAGTTCCCTTCCAGATACCCTGACATCAGATTCATTTCATATCCCTGGACACTTGCCTCTAAAGTTCTTGGACTTTGCATTTAGCATTTCACTGTCCAGGGGTCACTCTTTCCTTTACTAATACCCTGAGGATACACAGGAGTTTGTGACACGCCCACGCCCCCTGACTCTTGGCCTAGTGCTCTGCCTTCTCCTCTCTACACTTGGAAGAGATGTCATCTACCTCTCCACACTGTCCATGTCCTGGATCCTTTGCCAGCTGAGCCTGTGGACTTGTTGGGATACCAGGAAGTGTGGACAGGAGTAGGAACTGGGGTGCAGATGGGCAGTCTTTACCTGGATATCCTTGTTCTCACTATCCCCTTGAAATAGAACTGGGACAGGAAGCTGTGCTTAGGCCATTTGCTATTTGAAGGTACCATAGAGACCTCCAGACTCTTGATTTATTTTTCAACATCACTTCAAAAATCTTTTGATCTCACCTTTTGCTAATGAGCAGAAAAAGTACCATTGGCAAGGCTAGATTTTTCTCCAGGCATTCCTGAACCTAGGATAGATTTGTTTGACCCCAAAAGACCTGAGGCTGGACTCATTTGGTGGAAGTAATGGGCTTCTCTAAAGAAATTCTTGCCCTGCATTCTGATAAAGTAGCCAGGGAATCTCTTAGCTGACCAGCAAAGAGACACATCCCAAAAGCTGAGTGTAGGGTGTTCCAGGGAGGGGCTGGGCTGGCAGATCCTCTTGTGGGCTTGGAATAGAGTTCAGCTCACAGTCTAGCTACGAACAGAAGCTGTGGAAATGACTGGCTGCGTGTTGACAGGTCTAAACTGAGTCAGTAACCAATTAGATTTATTTGCTTGTAAAGTTGCCTAAATGAAAAAAAAAATTCTCCCATCACTCACCAACCACCCCCTCTTGCTGGAGTTCCAGCTGGGGCTGTGATTACCCCACCCCAGGCAGGGAACTGACATCTTCTTTACTGTGGGCTGAGGCCCACAAAGACCCTGCCCCCAGCCAGCTCTGGGGAGCTTTTGAATAATGTACCCTTGTTAGACCTGCATTTTGTTTTGATTAAAATCAGTTGCTTGGGATGCAGACCAAGGAGAAGGGAAGGAATCTGCAAACTTTCTCTCTGCCCCGCACCCCTAAACTCTCCCCTTTAACTTCACCCTCCAGACTTATCAAGGGAGAGAGCTCTCTTCCCAGCTCCTCCTCTTGTCCATCTTCCTGTCCTTTCCCTCAGCTGTGGTTTCATTCCAACCCAGACGCTGGAAAGGAAGTGAAGTCAGGAGTTGAGTATGTGATGCGATGATGGGTGGCTCCCAGGGGCACATGCTCTGTCCAGCAGTAGCCAGTGGCTGGCTGGGCTTCCCTCTCCTTCTCACCCTTCTTCACCAGCCCCCAGCTCTGGTTCTTGGACTCACAGAGCCACCTACAGGCTCCAGAAGGAACTATTTTGCAGCAGGCAACCAGTATGCCTGGCTCTAGGCAACTTATCACCAGAAATTCTTCCTGGGTCCAGCCCACTGGTTCCCAGTATAATCCATTGTCCAAAGGCTGGGAGCAGTGCCCAGGAAGAGTTGAGAGAGGGAGTGTAGGCAACAGGGGGTTGGGAATCTGGAGACTTGGGTTCCATATCTTCTGTCGCTGACTTACTGGGTCAAGTGATTAAACCTTCCTGTCTGTGTTAGTCATTGTGAGTCGCAGGCGACTCGATGGCACATAGATCAACAACATCTGTGTTAAACCAAGTGATCTTAAAGGTCCCTTCCAGTTAGGGTAGCCAGTGTGTCTTGATAAACTCTTCAGTCCCCAATAGCCCAGTGCCTCTAGTTCTAATGAATAGTTGGTAGTGTTGTAAGTCATCAAATTGCTTCTATCCCACAGAATATAACCCTGTTAGATTGGAACTGTCCCATAGGGTTTCCCAGGCTGCTATAAGCTTTACAAATGATAGGTTAGTGGTTCAAACTCACCAGCAGCTCTGTTGTTGTTGTTGTTATGTGCTGTCGAGTTGCTTGTGACTCATAGCGACCCTTTGTACAACAGCCCTAAACTCTGCTCTGTCCTGTGCCAATGGCACTGTCTCTGACACCCCCACCCTGATTACCCCAGTCATTGAATCAATCCACCTCATAGAGGGTCTTCCCCTCCTGCGCTGTCCCTCCACCCTCCCAAGCATGATGTCCCTCTCCAAGGACTGGTCTCTCCTTACAACATGTCCAAAGTATGTTAGACGGAGCCTCAGAATCCTTGCCTCCAAGAAGCCACCCGGTTTAACCCTTTCCAGGACGAATCTGTTTGTTTTCCTAGCAGTCCATGGTACTCTCAATACTCTTCTCCAGCACCACAGCTCAAAGGCATCAATTCTCCCTCTATCCTCCTTGGTCATTGTCCAACTCTCTGATGCATAGCAAGTGATTGCAAAGACCATGGCCTGTATCAGACGCACCTTAGTCTCCAGAGAGACACCATTGCTCTTCAGTGCTTTGGAGAGGTCCCTAACAGCAGACTTTCCCATGGCAATGCGCCTTTTACTGGCTACTGGTGCCAAGAGTGTTGACTGTGGAGCCAAGCAAACTAAAGCTGTGAACAATCTCAATCTCTTCACCATCCATCCTGATGCTGCCAATTGGTCCAGTGGTGAGAATCTTTGTCTTCTTGACATTGAGCCTCAATCCATAATGGAGGCTGCAGTCCTTGACACTCTGCAGCAGGCGCTTCAGGTTCTCCTCAGTTTCAGCAAGCAGGGTTGTGTCATCTGCATAACGCAGATTGTTGATAGATCATCCACCACACTTGACTCCACATTTCTCCTCATAGAGCCCAGCCTCTCGGATAATCTGTTCTGTATACAGGTTGAAAAGGTATGGAGATAGGACACATCCCTGGCATACACCCTTCCCATTTTTGAACCATGCAGCTCTGTAGGAGAAAAAAACCCTGGTGATCTATGTGTAAAGATTAAAGCCTGGGCAGTTTTATAATGTTATGTAGGGTCTCTGATTTGGAGGTTGTGTAACGAAACACCCAACAGTCTTGACAGGATCCCATTGCCACAGTTTTTTTCCCCTCCAGCCTTTAATTGACAACTAAATGCTTAATAAGTGTGCACTAGTTAGTGTTCCTTCTAACCAATATCTTCTTCTGCCTTTGAGTCAATTCTGACACCTGCTGACCATTGATTTCTGAAGCTGTGAATTGTTAGCTGGAGAGATTGCCTTTCTCTCTCCTGAGGAGCCCTTGGGAGATTTGAACTGCTGATCTTCTGATTAGCAGCCCAACAAGTAATGCACTACATCACCAGTTCCCCTTTCAAAAGGAATAAGGGGAAGTCATGCAGGCTTACATTGCAAATTCAGTTTCCAGTCATTAGTGGTTGGTCAAGGACACTGAGCCCTCTGAGCTTCAGTTTCTTCTTCACTGTTAGTAAAGTTCTGTGGAGTCAGTTTTGACCCATGGCGACCCCATGTACGACAGACTCAGACTTCCCAGTGCCCCGACACCCGGTGTCAGACACGTTGTAACAACCATTGTGTCTGTCCCTCTCGCTGTGGGTCTTTCTCTTTCCCCCTAGCCCTTTACTTTCTTTTCCAAGCGTGAAGTCTCCACTAATTAAAACCTCATCTCAGAACTCAAGCCCATTACCATCAAGTCTGAACTGACACACAGCTGACCCTGCACTGGGTTTCCAAGGCTTTTTAAATTACACAGGAGGACATTGCCCCTCTTTGACCCAAGGAGCCACTGTGGATTCAAACCACTGAAGAGGCATAGTTTTTGGCTTAGCATTGCGACTCCCTGCGGACTCTGCAGTCTAGCATCTTTGAAGGAAACATTTCATTATGCAAATAATGTGTAATACATTATACACTTTAAGAGTTAAACGCCATGGGTAAAATGAATATTTCCTTTGCCATCACAGTTTTTTTCTTTTGCAATGCCCATCTCTCCACTCCACCCCTTGTGATGAGTCCCTGCGAGTCTGTCCGTCTGTCCATTCATGACCTCTGTGTTACCCCCACAGGCGAGAGACCTTTGATTTTGATGACGACTGTGACAGCCTGACTTGGGAAGAGAACGAAGATACGCTGCTGCTCTGGGAGGATTTCACCAACTGCAATCCCACCCTCGACCTGCAGGGGGAGGTGAGCCCCGCCCGGCTTCCCAGAGGCCTTCCCCTAACACCTCCTTCAAATTTTCCTCCTTCTCTTTCCCTGTGGCCCCACTGCTTATCTAAATCCTCTCTTTTTTTCTTTTTCCCCAGCAAGAAGAAAACTTGGGCAACTTGATCCATGAGACAGAATCCTTCTTCAAAACGAGAGACAAGGAGTACCAGGAAACGATAGGCCAAATTGAGGTAAGGACTTGGGCCCAGAGCCCGTAAGCTAGGCTCAGCTGGGGGCTACGTGGTTGAGACCCCTGGGGGTTTAGTGCCTATGTGGGCAGGGGCAGTAGTGTGGGGAGAGCACAGGATCAGGATCCCAAGGCATACCAATTCCCTGCCTGACCCTAGAAGAGTCATGTGATTCTGAGGCTTCAGTTTCTTAATCTGTAAAATGGGGCTAGTGATCACTGCCTGCTCCAGAGAGTTATTTTTACTTTCAAAAATTCTGCTGAAATTATAACCATAAATAAGTGATCCTTTCAAGTACATCTTCTCTAGAATCCATACTGCTACCTCATGTGCAGGCATTGTGCCTCCCATTTTACAGAGACATAAATGAGGCTAAAAGACACCAAATGACTCATTCAAGGCCTCACAGCCAGAAAACAGATTCAATCCCAGTTCTGTCTGACTCTGGACAGAGCCTGTGCACTTGAATATGTATGCAATGTGAATTATTGCTAATACTGTGATGTCATACTGAAGAAAGAGAAGGGAAGATGATTCCCATGAGGCTGGGTCTCAAGGGGACAACTGTGGTGGCCCTGATGGTGTCACCCCCGAGGAAGCAAGGATGGAGGATGCCCAGTCTTCTGCCCTGACAGTGACATAACCTCTCCCTTCTCCCATGTGGCTTCTTCTCAAGCTGGAGCTGGCCACAGCCAAGAGCGACATGAACCGACACTTACATGAATACATGGAGATGTGTAGCATGAAGCGGGGCCTGGACGTGCAGATGGAGACCTGTCGTCGGCTCATTAAAGGCTCTGCAGACAGGTATCAGCCCTGCCCTCCTCGGGGGTTCCATCGTTGGGTGTTTGAAGGGAATTGGTGGGCTGCAACTTACAGCCTGGCTTCATTGCGTCCACCTAGCATATCTTCTGTCATCCACCATCCATCTTTCTACCATCCTTCCTTCCACTGGTCCATCCTGCACCTCCTTGTCCATCCATTCTCCCAATCGTTGATCCTTCTATCCTGCATCCGTCTTTTGGTCCATCTTTCCTTCTACTGATCCACCCTTTCATCCATCCATCCATCCATCCATCCATCCATCCATCCAGTGAATATTCTGGAGCACTTACTGTGTGCTGAAACATTGCTATTGAACCCTGCAGCCACTCTTCAGGAGAAAGCTGGGCAGTTTCTTGTAAGGATAGGCTCAGAATTCCCTTGGGGCAGCTCAGCTCTGTCCTACATGATTATGAGTTGAAATTAACCCAGCAGCAGTAGGCTTGGGATGAGTGTGTGATCGATGCCTTACATATCTAATGTCATGGAGCTGCCACAACACCTCTCCATTGTTGATTCAGCATCACTTATTGAACACCTACTAAGTGCAAAGTTATGGGAATCCAGTGCTGAAGAACTAGTCATAGTCACTGTCCTCATAGTCCACAGGCTCTGTTTTCTGCTGATTTGCAGAGTGGAGGAAGCGGGCAGGGTACTGTCTCCATCTACCAATTGGGCTAACATTGTACATAAGAAGCCATTTCTTTCCCAGCTTCCCACTTAAGGCTGGCTAGGTCTGTCCTCAGAAGACTGGCAAACACCAAGATTGCAGGCTAGGGAACCATCTGGAGGCAGTTCTGCTGTGCTCCCTGGGGCTGCTGTGGATTGGAATGTATTCGGTGGAACCCAACACCATTAGGTGTACCCACACCTGTATTTGGTGACTGAGAAGTTAAACCCCAGATCCATGGTTCTTTCCCCCAAAGAGCTTGTAGTCTAGAGAAGTCAAAGTACTCTGGCCAATTCAAGGCTAGTTGGGGCCTGGAGAGGTCTTGAGAGCCACATTCAGTTCAAGAACTTAGAAGTTTCTGCGCAGAAATCGGGTAGAGACCTAGAGTCGGGTTCCTCTGAGTGGAGATTTAAGACAAGTGGTTACTCAGCCCTTCTGGCCCCCCAAATCCTTCAGGGGTCCCCAGGCTGCCCTCTAAGTATCCCCATTCTTTTTGCCTTCCAGAAATTCTCCATCCCCGAGCTCCGTGGCCAGCAGTGACTCGGGAAGTACAGATGAGATTCAGGACGAGTTCGAGCGGGAGGCAGATGTGGAGCCCATGGTCAGCTGATGACTGAGGCCCCGAGTGCCTGGTGGGGATGGAGATCGGGCCCTGTCCCCTGCCTCGATGGGGCCACGAAGGCTCCAGGGGTGGGGCTCACGCCCTCACGACGCAGACTTCCTACGCCCTCCCTTCTCTGGAGGCCTCGAGAGACTGCTGCTTCCTTCCTTCTTTCCTTCCACACTCCCCACCTCCGACCAGTCGGCCCCTCCCCGTCCTTCCACCCAAGGAATGGTGCTGTCAATTTCTATTGTTCTCCACGTTACAAATGCAGACTTCTGTCCGGACGATGCAGTGTTAACTGTGCCTTTTCCCTTAAGCTGAGCCACTTTGAGCTCCAAAGAATCCTTGCAGGTGTTTTTATACAAAACTCCAAGGTGAGGGCGGGTATCACGTGGTTTTCTACCCTCCCACCTGCTCCTCTGATTGGCCGTGAGCTCTGCCCTCCCTTCTTCTACCTGCCAGCGCTGAGGTGGGGTTTGGGGTCCTCAGCCTCACCCAGGAAGGAGCTGTTCGCGTCTGTCAAAGTTCCAGGCCTGTGTGGGGACCTCATTCTTTGAAGGCGAGGCAAATGGAAGGAGGGAGCAAATATAAATTTTTTCTTTCTTTTTGGATTGAGTGGCAAAGTGAAGGGATGAGGCACCGTGAGGGAAGGTGGAGCCTCACTGTGTTTATATTACTATGCAAAAAACCAAACAAAAAGCAGCTTGCCTTATTTCATTGTGGAAGGCAGACCCTCTGCTGGATCCAGGGCTTCCCCTGGGGTCTGGGAGGGAGGCAGAAGCTAGGACCATCTCTCTTGCAGCCTTTGAGGGTGAGCACTGTTTTGGGAGGAGAGTTCGGTCCAGGTTGGTAGCTGCGCCTGGGTTCTGTAAGACCCTTGGCCCGCCTGACTGCTTGCTTGCTTTGGGACCTTGTTGGTTTGGGACCGGTGTTTGGGTTTTTTTTGTTTTTTTGTTTTTGTTTTGAATTGACCTGATGACCTGATTGATGCTCTTTCCTCCCTCTCCAGCCAACTTGAAGGGGTTATAGACCTGTGATTTTTCTGTGAGAAAGTCTGAAGGGACCCAGGCCTGGTGTCCACTCCCTTTTGTAGTGGAGCTCGGGTTAAGGTTGGCCTGCCATCAGCTTGATTCCCCACTGTCTCTCAAGTTGACTGTTGTTTGGCCACCGGCTGGGAAGAGACATTGGAAGGGAGAGAGGAGGGAGACAGTGAAGGCTGCTGGCAGCTTGAATGTGGCGGGATTAGGAGCTTGAATGAGGACCATCCTCTATTCTGTTCATGGATTGGTGAAAACTTGTTTTTATAATTCACTCACCAAGTAGGGTGTTCACTTGAGCCAGTAGATCCCTAAGATTTGAGTGGACCTGAGTTTAAGGGGGCTCCGTTGAGACCACACCAAATCTCAGTTTGGAGCCAACTGAGCAGACTTTTAAAATTATCATTTTGCTATTGTTGGCTCAGGAACGCCCCCTGGAGGTCAAAGAAGCAAAATGTGCCGGAGGACCAGAATTTACTGTCCACTTCCTATGTCTGGAGGCTCTGGCTTTGGAGGGGGAGGGATAGCAGTCCCTGTCTTTCCTCTCCAGGGCACCAGCATAGGCCCTTCTTTCACTTCCATTTCCTCTCTTTGTTTTGCAGTCTTAATTGTTGTATATAATCATATATGTATGTGGAAAGAGCGGGAGAGTCAATTAGTGACTATAACTTATCAGACCTTGGTGGCCTTTATCATGAATTTTTTTTTCTCATTTTTTTTATTGTTGGGGAAACACCCCACTGGTTCTTTGTGACAGTCTGACTGAGGGGCTTCCATTCTCAGCATCTCTTATTAGCCAAAGGGTCCCTTGGTAGGTGGGTACTCGGAGGGCTGGTGGTTTGGGAGGGAAGCTCTCCCATTCCTCCTTACCGGCCTTCATTCTAAAGGTAACAGGGTTCAAACACACCTTATTACTATTGTTGTTGTTATTATTATTATTGTTTTATTTTAACCAAAGGTTATCAGAGCCAGTTGGGCTTGGACCTCAGCTGCTGAAAAGATTTTTCCGTTTCCACGAGGGCAGGCCAATGGCTGCCCTCGGTGGGTCTCCTCTTTCCAGGGCTGAGGAGAACATTGAATGGCATGCTTTATGGGTCAGGTGGGCAGCATGGATGCCAGCCCTTGGTTGTTCCTCAAGGTGGTGGGAGGGTGACAGACATATCTTAGAGTTAAGACAGTTAAGCAGCAGTATGAGCCTTTGAGGGTAACGAAGGTCACCGTGGTGACTGGTGTCTGGTGTATAATTTTTGCTCTCTCCTCATACACATAGGTCATTGTCTTTGGACATCAGTGTGCTGTGAATTTGTCTAGAGTTTGGCGATGCAGGAGCCAGAGAGAGAGGCTGGTCCAAGAGCTCCTTCCTGCAGGGTTCCAATAGCTGCTCTCCGTGTGGGAATGAGGACTGGGGCAGGTGACTCTGGGGAAGGACAGCAAAGGTGTGGTCAACCTGCATCCTGGGCTGGTTCCTGGGTCTTGGCCTGGCTGCCTCCCTCCTCACCAAGTTCTTTTTTGAGTTAGTTGCCGGTGGGCCCTGCTTATCCCCTCACCATGAGCCCACAGCTTGCCAAGAAAGACCCCAACGCTCACTGGGGCAGCACCAGGCCAGGTTAGCACGATCTGGTCTGTCCTTTGTAAAGCTGTAAATACTTAGGTTTGGTTTTCTATCTCTAAGCCCAGTGTCATATTGACATTGGTATTTTAGAATCATTCTCAGAGGCAAATGGACTCTCCTTTGCTTCCCTCTCTCACTCTCCTATTTTTTTTGGGTTTTATAAAAAGAGAGGATTGGGGAAGGGCAGAGAGAGTAGATTCCTTTTGGCCTCCTGATGTACACACACACACACACACACACACGTGAGACTTAACACAAGAAAAAAAATATTGGCAAACAAACACATCTTGTTTTCTTGTGGTAGCGTATTTTGAAGTTGCTGAAGAACCAGGCAGAAATTGTGTTCAACATGGACTTAGCTCTGTGGCTATAACACAGTTCTAAGGAACTCAAACCACTTTGACTTGAGATGGGGGTAGAGGGATTGGGGTAGGGAATAATATGTGGTGTAATTTAAGCTAAATGTAATCTATTTATAAAGCAAGAGACTCCCGTCTATTTTTATGAAAGGGAAGGTTTTTTAAGTTAGGATAGGCAGTGGTGGTAGTGGCCCAGCGTTCCCCTGTGGACAAGATGCTGTGTGTGCTGCTGCTGGGGGTTTCAGTCTACCCTCCTGTCCTCACCTCCTTGTATCCACAGCCATGAGTGACTTCTGTGTGTGTAGGACCCATCTCACCCATTTTCCTCTTTCCAAACCCCCTCCTCTTTGGCCCTTGGAAGTCTTGTGGGGGGTGGGGGAGGTGGAAGCATGTGGAAGTGGGTGGGCAGGGGGAATTAGTAATTTATGGTGGAGGCGGGGCAGGAGTACCAAGGTTTGGAGCAATCTCCCCTTCAGAGACTGGTTGTTGTTTTTAGGTGCCATGGAGTTGAGTATGACTTATAGTGAGTGACCCTATGAACAACTGACATGAACCCTGCCCTGTCCTGTGCCGTAGGCTCTGCTTAGTTACTCTAACTCTGATCTGCTGAGATCCATTTCCAAGCTGGTTACATTTGGGAGAGGGTCAAGAAACAGCAGAGTGTGGTGGTCGGGCTGTGGGTTCCAGGGCACACACTTTTTCTGTGCCTGGATCTTAGTGGGTTCTAAGTTGTCATAGGGAGGAGTGAAAATGCTAGGAGGTGCTCCGAGCCCAGGCCTGGCTTGTGCTCACTGTGGGCCAGGGAGACTCAGCTGCAGTCTGGGTTGTGTTTCTCCAGGCTGAAGGATGAGTGCAGGGGGCTCCCTCCCTCCAGGGTCTTCCACTTTCAGCCACTGAGTGAGAGTCGAGATGGCTGAGGGGATTTTTTTTCCATAGAAGGAATACCCCAGGTTCAGAGCGGGCTATATGATAGTCTTGAGCAGATCTTTCAAAGAAATGAAGTCACAGTGCCCCTGCCGCAGACCCTTGTGTGAACATTTGAACATCTACCTGGTTTTTAACCCCGTCCAGGGAGACTTACTATCCCATGGTCTGTCCCCATTGTTGCTGTTTGTTTGCCAGCTGGGTCTAGCATCAAGGGGAAGGGGGTGGGGGGATCGGTTATACTCATTGAAAGACTACTGATCCTACGGGACATCAACCTGTTTACTGTACTGTTGTAAATATCAAGCCCTTTATATCCTGTATATTGGCTTCTTTTAAATAAAGAGAAATGTCTTAGAATTCATGGTGTTTGTTTTTTAAACTGAGGATGAAAATTGTGGGTTGAGAGGGACAAGAGAACAAAGGGCCACATAAACACTGCCTGAAACTTATTAGCCAATTAGTTATGATAAGGAAATCTCACATCACCCATTAAGTTGCTTCTCACAATGATTCTTTGGAAGGAGACAAGACAAGAATTATTGGAAACATTTTGTAGAAGACAGGGTCAGGGAGGTCATAAGCAGAATAATGGACATAGACTGTTTTGGGACTGAAGTCTTAATAACCACACTACTCCCACATTTTAAACCTCCACAGTGTCCTGGAGAGGCTCTAGGTTTGACAGGCTCTTATTTCTTTCTGTAGTGGCCAAATTCAGGGCCTAATTTTCCCATCTGGGCCAACTTGACTATGATCTTTTGCAAGGAAAATTAGAAACAACCACTGCCAATTCCAGGATTTGCTTTTTGCCCTCTCTTAAGGTTTGTACTCAGGTTAGTTTACCATTTTAAAAAAGTTCCATCCCCCCCCAAATTTCTTAAGTGGTGTGATATCCTGTAGGAAAAGGAAGCTGATAGGGGCATTTTGAAGCTACCAACACACACAAAAAACCAAACCACCACCACCAACAACCAAAAAACCCCCCAAACAAACAAAAAATGGAGTAAAACTCTCAATGAGATAAACACAATAGACCTGCACTTAGTAACAATCATGAAAATGGCTCAGGGC